TTTAACACAGCCTGAAGCTGATACTTACTTTCCTTGAAAACCAGAATTCGCTGCTTGAGCTGGACAGTGAAAGACTTAATCCAAAAGTTTACACTATTTATGTTAACAACACATTTAACACAGCCTGAAGCTGATACTTACTTTCCTTGAAAACCAGAATTCGCTGCTTGAGCTGGACAGTGAAAGACTTAATCCAAAAGTTTACACTATTTATGTTAACAACACATTTAACACAGCCTGAAGCTGATACTTACTTTCCTTGAAAACCAGAATTCGCTGCTTGAGCTGGACAGTGAAAGACTTAATCCAAAAGTTTACACTACTTATGTTAACAACACATTTAACACAGCCTGAAGCTGATACTTACTTTCCTTGAAAAAGAACTGGATATCTTTGTTTTCCTGTAGAAATAATAATAACGTATTACACATTTACTATTTTACAACAAACATTATTTTTTACTGCTACTGTTATTTTAGCACAGAATATATGTCTTTTTGCAATATTAGTAAACATACAACATCGTGCTACCAGTTTCGTACAAGTGGGTGGCACAAGCGGGGTAGTTGCTTTAGGGATCAAATGTACAAGAACTCGAAGGTCCCAGCAAGTTTTAGATTTGTTAGTTTGTTGATTTTCGCGCACTGTTTACTTCAGATCTATCCACTAACTAGACCTCCCTAACTTAGAAGTGAAAACAAGAGGGTTATTCTAATGAAATAATGGGATTGATCGTCACATATAACGCCCCCACAGTTGGAAGAACAAGCATGTTCGGTGACGGAGATTCGAACCCGAGACCCGAAAGGTGCCAGTCGAGCGTCCTACCATCAAGCTCTGACAGACCAAAGTTTTATATAAAAAGAAAATTAAAACTAATTGGTACTACAGTAATTGTTATGATGTGAATGACTTTTCCAAGTTGGCAAAGCATGGTTATAATTATCATATTTATCATAAGATATTAGTATTAGGCCAGTTATATTTTTAACACTACATTCTTTATCTCATTATAACAAATGGCTTACATAAATGGTGTTTCGACCACTACTGTATCCCAGCCGTCCTGCTCAGCGAAACGCGTCGTCGGCAATGGATATGGTAAATACAGTGTGGCTGGAATACCATTATCATACAATCTTCTAATTCTCGAGAGTTCCAAAGGAACTAGATAAAAAATGTAGCGTTAAAAATATAATAGACCTAATAATAATGTCTTATAAAAAACAGAATAAATATTTGATACTTTTATAAAAAAACATTACAACGTGATCATTTCTTTTTCTTTACACTATTTATTCGTTAAGTTTATTAGATCAGTTTTAATAAACATTGTTGTTGATGAATGTGTTACAAATGTTGTTATAAATAATAGTACAACACCTGCCTTAACAATAGTAATGAGATAGAATGCAGTATAAGAATTACAATATACTGATTGATCAGTTTTAATAAACATTGTTGTGGATGAATGTTTTACCAATGTTGTTATAAATAATAGTACAACACCTGCCTTAACAATAGTAATGAGATAGAATGCAGTATAAGAATTACAATATACTGATTGATCAGTTATAATAAACATTGTTGTGGATGAATGTGTTAGAAATGTTGTTATAAATAATAGTACAACACCTGCCTTAACAATAGTAATGAGATAGAATGCAGTATAAGAAACCAATCATTTTTGTATATTGAAGAGACAAGTCATATTTAAAAAGAGCAGTTGAATGTAAAGGTAAAAAACGCAGTAGAGTTTTTTATCATTAATTGGCTCGCTTTACGAATTTAAAGTAAAATATTCGGCAAGGTTCGAAAAGGGTATCGATCTCTCCAACTTCATTTTCTACACAATTATTCACCATAAAAACTTGGCTCATTTGTTGTTTGTTCTCCAAACAGTTTCTCAACTCTGTACTTCTTAGGTGTGTATCAGGAAAAGGGTCTCAAATATACTGAAGAAAATAGTTAATACAATCAAAGAGTAACGCTTGTTATCACTGGTTCAGAAGACAGCTTGTATGACGTTTTTAAAGACCCCCAGCGCCTGTGCACAGCACAAAATTGAAAATGGAAAAGTTCGATAGGGTAAGAGAGACTGAAATAAATGGAAAATCCATACTCTGAGCGTAAACGGATTAGAGAAATCAACCTCAAAGAAGCCACTGATGTCTGTGCTCGGCAGAAACCAAGCAAGAGCAGTTCAAAAGCATGATAATTATAACTATTGTAATCCTTTTCATTTTAATATCATTTA